TTCCCCCAACAACCCAAAACTTTCAATAATATATTTCACAACTCTCTGAGAAAAATCGACACAAAAACTGAACACAAATTCTTTTTCTTTTCCTAAAAGTTTTCAAGTTTTCGTAAGAGTTTTACACAACTTGCAACACAATTAGGTCAGTCATAAAAGGGCAAAAGATTAGAAATTTTAAATTCTAACAAGAGCATGCAAATTCTAAAAAGAGAATAGATGTTTGCTGATAGGAAAGTAGGAGTAAACCTCCACTAGAGCACCCAGCAACCACCCACCATATCAGAGGGAAAGACAGAGACTCTACCTGAAGGTAGTCCAAACGAGAACAACAATAAAGCTTTTTATTCCAGAGACTCTAACACACACGTCTTGCTCCAGCCATTGTAATAATAATCGGGGCCAATATTACTAGATAGCATTTGTCTAGCGAAAAAATCCACACTCAACAGCAAGCTCTACGTGCTTCACAATCTATACTATTACCCCAGCAGACCTGAGAGCATTCTAAAATAACCTCAACTTCCTGGGAAGCACACACGAATTGAACCGCCTTCTCTCACTCCCTCAGGCAAAAATTATGCCAAATAATTAAAAAAAAACCCCATGGTATGGGAAAAACAAAGCGAGAACAGGGCACAGAAACAAAAAAGTTGACCAAAAATGAAGAGGAAGAAAATTGTATCACTCTTGAGAAAAACCAGGTTAAATATATTATCATTTTGTATCCATCTGCCATCCAAGAAATGATCTCTCTGTACAAATCGGAGCTCACCGAAGAAACAGGAACCAAGGAAAACTCTAGACAATCTACCAATCTCTACAGCTACAAATGAGTACAACAGTACAGGAGGGCATGCAACAAAGTACATTATATCATGTAGTTGTAAATGCTTGTAAACATTTTATTATCAACAAAGATAATGAATTCTATTAAATACTTTACAATTTGGTGCAAAGTAACAATTGCCACCATTTTCTGGGTTTGGAGGAAGGGGGTGGGGGGGTGAGAACCATGCAGCCGTAAACTCACTTCATATATATGTACAAAACAATACAAACACGTGTGAAAGTTGAGAAGAAATGTATAGAAAGAGGATAAATTATGGCATGGCAATAATGCTTTGCTAGTAAGTTTGAGAACAGCGCGCGTGGGGGGGATGAAGTACCAACAAAAACTTTAGCAAGCAGAAAGAAGGTTCACATGGCCTCGTTCTGTTTGGGAGAGCAAAGAGAAGAACACCCACACAATAAAGCTCGAACAGTAGGCCTACTAGGATCTACCAGTGGCACCCTCCAACCTTCCGCTTTCAAAGCTTCAAAAGCAAAGGACTGGGATGAAAGAAGAGTAAAATTCTATTCTCAACCCCAACCCTTCAGAAACAAGATATGCTTTAAAATTGCTTAATCAGAAAATTGTCAAACTCCAGTAATGTGTTTTCTCCCAGGCAGACACATTGTTGAGTGGGGCTGGAGATCGTGGCAAGTAACAGTTTTAAAAAAACCTCACTTGAGCCTTTTCCCCATGTATTTACGGGATGCCCGCCCGCCCAGTGGCCAAATCACGAATATTTACGCGATGCGCTTTATCAGTTGATATCTCCAACTGTGCTACTGTGCATAAGAATATGATAATATCCGCCCTGTGGAAAAGGCCAAAAGACACTTCAGTCAGTAGCATTATCCTGGGGGGTGGAGAAAATCTTTGACGTACAGCGCTACAGCCAGTTAGGCCATACCCGCTGTAATCTACCCACTCAATCTCCCCATATTGCCACATAGCGGGTACCCAGTAACAATAGTTTGGCCAGCACAGAAACACAGGGCCATGTACTTATGGCAACCGCTCCACACACACACACGCACACGCACACACACAATCCATCAAACAAACTGTGATCTCCACCCTCTCACAGCCATTCCGACATACTCCACAACCAAACAGACCACAGTCACACCAGCGACCTGACAACCATCAAAGACAAACACTAGTAGTCAGAAACAAACATTTCTAAAGCTTTCCATATATATATATATAAAATTGATAACAAGACCATCAACAATTCTCTTTCACACAACAGAAAAATGCCCATGAAATAGCCACTTCCTGAAAAGCGGAAACATGTTCTTCCGTTTCACATTTTGGTTTGGAAAATTCGTAAGAGACAAGAAAAAATGTAACAAAGTAAGAAAATAATGGCATCAGCTACAGACAGAAGGTAGCAGCAGGAAAATCCATTCTTGCTTTCTCCCTTACAGTAACACTGGCAGTAGGCTATTCGTCATTAGGGGCGAGTAAACACCTGGCCCAGAAACTGTTTACTCGCCAATACAGTGTCCCAAGACACATTGTTGTGTATATACTTGTGCCAGCGAGTTGTGCATTGTTGTATGTGTATAAGTGAAACCGTGTGTGTGTGGGTGTGGGCCAGTCGTGTGTGTGGGCCAGTCGTGTGTGTGTGTGTGTGTGTGTGTGTGTGTTAGCGTGAAAACATCTTCTCACCAACATACTGAAGAACTCGCACCCAAAAGTCTCACCTGGACAAAAGAAGACACACACACACACGGAGAGATCACAGAAGTCTTATCAATTCTGCAAGCTGATGGAGAGAATGGCTACTAACAGTAATACAGGTTTTGCTGCGGTATATTGTGTGGATAGACACAGAGAAAAGTAACAGTCCCCTCCATCTTGCTACCAAACGTGCTGAACACCTGATCTGCCAAACACAGAACGTCAGAAAGAACATCCCAGCTGAACCACTTTCCTCACAGAAGAAAAACTCACTTCTGCTGAACACAACCAATTTTTCCATTCACAGAATACAAAAAAAACCCCCAAATAATAAACGCACACGCATATTCTTCTCTTCTTTCACCTCTCTCTCCGTCTTTTTCTCAATTATAAAAAAACAGTTACGCAGTCCGTTCCTCAGCACGTGTGAACACAAACCCTCGAGTCAGTCACTAACTAGGTCAACAGACGTTCATCGCCGACAGAAGCGCCAGGTTTTCAGCTAGCTGTTGTTGTTTTCCAGGCGGCTGTCTAAGCGACTGAAGAGCCGCGTACGTCGGGCGTTGTGCGTGGCAGAGTTGATCACCTCCATCCACCTGGGAATACAAACAAGTTGTACAAGTTAACCAACATATCGTTACCTCAGCACTTTCTTGTACTTGTATCTCCATTTTATTAACTGTGAAAATGTAACATCTTATTAAGCTCACTCTTATTAAAAATGGAGATATGAAAATAAAGCACTGGGGTTGCAAATATATATGTTTGCTTTTAAGCACAAGGGGGCTATCCCGAAAAAGGCTGTTTTGAGAAATAAAAGAAGAGCTTTCTTTATAATCAAACAAATACACCAATGAAAGCAAACTTCTTCTATAGGTAGGGCAATGCCCACTTTCGGTGTAGGTCAAGATTTCTGGAAACACTTGAAATCTGGGTTAGCCCGCTTGTTCTTTCCAACAAGCCATTTGAGCAACCCAAAGGTCAAACAGACTTTGTTTCAAAAAATTTTGTTTAAAATATAGGGGGTTTATTTACGCCCCCATCTAGATATAGGCAGGACCCAACTGGGCTGAGAAAGATAGAGCCACGAGTAAAAGTTGGTCACAAAAATTTTGCCTGAAAACTTTTAAACTCACAGTATCTCAACGGGCTTTGCCTGAAAAGATAATCAATATTCAAATCACCCTCGTACTATCGATTTCTAGATGGAACAAACAAAATTTCACAAAAAGGCATATAAAACTATGGAAGGTCGATCCTAGTATCAAATTATTAAGCAGATATATCGGCCACCACACCTGCTGAAAACTGTAGCACGCAATATCGCTTGAGTTAAAAAGTAAGATTTTTCTGAGACAGTTGTCAGGCAAATCCTTTCCAAAAAACAACAACTAAACCTCTCGGCTTTT